AGGAAGAAAAAGATGGACAGGAAGAAAAAGATGTAGACGAAGCTTACAAGAAACAACAACCAGGGGAGGAATGCGTTAATGTGGCGGGAGAAAGAAGAAGAAGGTGTTTGGCTTTATTTGCAAGAATTTCAGCTCTTTGGGAACATATTATAATTTTTAAAAGATTACACAATACTTCATTAATCATAATTAACCTCTAATCATGTTTAATTAACCTTAATAAAAAAAACAAAATTATTTACTTAATACTTACAAACTACATAACCTTTTAATTAAATTTAAACTTCATATGGCCTTTTAACAAAATACCGGAGTGAACACTGCTATCCCACTCTGAAAGTCTTTTTAATTTTTATCCTTACAGGCTTTCAAACAAAATTCCTAAAACATCCCTTAAGGTTTTCAAACATTCAAAATGACCCTAACAAAACCCCTGCAGGTTTGGAAACCTGTAAACAGGCCCTGTGATCTAGATTTCTTCAATCTAGGTAATCTCTTCAAGCCACAATCCACCACAAACTCAGCCCTATCCGGCACCGGAACACCACCACAAACTGTTCTTCTACTGAAAATATACTACGGATGAAGGTATACAACACGTTCGAGACCTTCACAGGGAGTCCATATAGGTACAGCTGTTATCTTTAGCTATTCATTTTAGACTTTCAGTTGTTGTAATCGGAGCAATAGGAGGGGTAAGGTAACTGGTGGATTAGCTGAAAATCTTGTCTCCACTTGCTTGTCTTTGTATGTGTTTCTCCCATTCTCCCTTCCGTTGATTTTACGCCTTAATTTCTGTCATGGTTATGTAAATGAAGTTTTTAACCAATTTTTTTTGTTAGAAATTGAAATTGAGCAAAATGTTGTTAGTGATGTATTCAAGAAAAAATCACTCTTGGGTGGCAAAATAGTAAAATCTATTGATGTATTTGGGAGGATTAATCTGACAACATTTTTAGAGGCATTTAAAGTCTAATACGTGACAATTCCAATAAATGCTTTAGATTGTGAATCAAAAAAATCTCGTTTCTTTTGACATCGAAAAACCCATCTTAAAAAATTTAAATACCAAATTTGGCTAGCAACGATCAAGTAAATCTTTGATCTCAAACTTTAATGTATATGGGCTAAGTTAGTGCAAAATTATTGGATCCCAACATGAAGTCATATCTATCTCAAGTCAGGGCGGGTGTTAGTTCATCACCATTAAAGATGTTACAACTTAATTAATTATTTGTTCGAGTTTTGTTATAAATGACTAATGACTAGAACGTAGATGTCAAGTTTTTTTAATTGAAGTCGACCCTATATCTAATCTTGCTGCCGTGTTTGATAAAATTATAGAACTTTGTATTACTAACATTTTGAATTTTGATGAGGCAAACCATCAAGGCGATGGCGATGGCAGATCTAGTTGTTTGAGAGACGGCAACTTTATTACGAGGAGGATTTTCTTCACTTCGTTCGGCTATTTCACCTAATTGGTTTGATTAATCTTTATCAATTATGCGTTGGTAATGGTGACTTATACAACTTAACCAATTAATATTTTATTACTAGTCATTAATTGCTAGCGAAATCAGCTAATATATATGTTATGCCCGGGAAAATAAAGGGCTGACGTGGAAAAGTCACGTGAAGGGTGACCTGCTCCCGTCAGAGCAACACTCACACGTCAGACCTGCCAAATGGTATGGAGCTCACACGCGTCCGTTTCCCTGCAATAAGTCGTGCGAAGTCAGCTTGGGAAAGGGAAAATGGGACATAAAGCCAGATTATATCCTGAAAATCACACCAAACCATGGATTTAATGATGATTACACGCTTCAGTTTGATATAAAATGAAGAAGACCCCCTCATTAAGGGGATTCGGCCATTTTTCATAAGAAGAAAAGTCTTTCTCGCTCTCCTAAAAACACATTTACTTTTTCCAACTCTTTTGTAAGTCAGTCCGCAGTTGCGACCTGACCCACACTCATATCAATACACTTCAGTGGACGTAAGACTTGCTACCTTAGCATCCGAACCACTTAAAAAAACTCCCTTTGCATTTATTTCGCTTTCTATATTCCATTTTCACGTGTATTTAATAGCCAATCAACGTTATGCACGTGAGAATTCGTTGGTGCTTAAACCGAGCATCAACAATATATTATCTAATTAGTGATCACTTTCTAGATTTATATATGAACTCTTTGTCTTTGCTAGCCAAGTGGAGCAATGAGGAATCAATTTACAGTCTAATTTCCCTTTAATTCAAAAGGCAAGCCGTTTCACTCCAAATTATGCATAATGAACTACCTCTGAGTGATTGAGTGATTGAGTGATTCGATAAAAACTCTTAGACGTATTATTTAACAGGTCCTGAGATCGAGTCTCTTAATAATTGTTAATAGGTGTAGCTACTGAAACTCTTACTTGGTCGGTAGTTTTAGGATTCTTAAAGATTAGTTAAAATACGCGTAAACAGGTTCGGACACCCCCGTCATTAAAAAAAAAAAAAAAATTATGCATAATGTGCGGTGTTGAACTAATTCAGTTTGTTTCTTTGTTTGGCAGTTGGCACTCTATCGCTAATTCGCTATACAAAACTCTTTGATTCATCATAAATAATACAAATTATTAAATTTTAGAACCATGACACCAACATATGACCCCACTATATCTGTAATACCAAAGCCACAGAATTTTATTACCCACATCACAAGACACAAAACGACATCAAAACCATCTCTCCCCTTGGCCTAGAACTTGTCAATATTTGTAACTTCATGCATGGAATATGACGATAAAAACAATTCGACTTGCCACTATATAAACCCCCATAACTCCCCAAAGTATAAGCACACAGAAATTGAAAGAGAGAAAAACGAGAGTTATGGAGTTTAGTTGCAAGGACTTCAAGGTTGGAAAATGCCAAGGAGAAAAGGTGGTGGATGGCGAGACGATGCCGCTTGTACTACAACCACAAGAGCCCAACAAGGGTGACTTGGACTCACTTCTGTTGGCTCTGAAGACTAACAAAGAGTGGTTTGAGCAGATGGTTATAAAAAATAGTGCAGTCCTCCTTCGAGGTTTCGATGTGAAAAATGCACAAGATTTCAATGAGATCGTCGAAGCCTTCGGTTGGGATGATATACTCTACGTTGGTCCAGCACCGAGAACCCATATTTATAAACGAGTGTGGACAGCCAATGAAGGACCTCTCTCTGAATTCATTTACTACCATCATGAGATGGTTTTGGTAAGTCATCATATTTTATATCTTATATACTGATGCTGTTGATTCAGATTTTTGGTTTAATTTCTACATTCTAAGGGCTCGAGAATCAAATTTTCTTTTCAATATTTATATGTTTCCCTTCAAGTTTATGCAAAACTTTAAGTTACTAATCGAATTCCAATCAAAGAGAAAGATGGAGCAAAACTATTATTTACAGAAATTATGCAATAATATTATTAGTTTACGCATTTAAATCTTTAAATATTTAAATGCATGATGTAAATGGGCATAATATTTAACGTGATAATGAACTTATATATAATTAAGTGAGAGTTGACTCCAATGGTGATATATATAATCGCATTTGACTTGATTAAATTAATGTTTGAGCAGATAAAGGAATATCCGAAAAAAGTAATTCTTTTCTGTGAGGTGCCACCACCAGAAGGCGGAGAAACACCGTTTGTTCCGAGCTTTAAAGTAACAGAACGTATGCTAGAAGAATTCCCAGAAGCTGTGGAGGAAATGGAGAGCAAGGGACTAAAATACTCTTTCACAGCTCTTGGCAATAACGATACTTCCTCCATGAGGGGTAGAGGTTGGGAAGACGCTTTTGGTACATCAGATCCTCAAGAAGCTGAGAAGAGGTATATATAATAAATGCTATAAATTATATCTTATAGAATCACTTGTATTAATTGACATGGAACGATGCTGACACAGGGCAAAGGCTCTAGGGATGGAGATAGAGTGGCTACCAAATGGTGGAGTGAAGACAATATTGGGGCCACGAGCCTTAACAAAGGTGTTCGATGGAAGAAAAGGGAGGAGAATGTGGTTCAACACTCTTGTTGGGATGCATGGAAAGGAGATTAGCTCAGCTTTAATGGCAGATGGAACAGAGATACCGGAAAATGTAGTGAAGAGATGTGAAGAGATAATTGAAGAAGAGAGCATCCAATTTAAGTGGGAGAAGGGTGATGTTCTTTTCTTTGATAACTTCGCTTTGCTCCATGGAAGAAGGCCTTCTAAGCCTCCAAGAAAAGTCCTAGTTGCCACATGCAAGTAGTTACTTTGCCTTGATAGAAGTTAAAAATATGCATGAATATTTGGTTCTGGTTGTATTAATAAGTGATATCGGGCCTCGTTGGATACGCTGTGTCTGAGTCGCATAAACATTAAATTACCCTCATTTCGGATTTTGAATAAATTACCTTATTCACTGTTATTTCAGTTCAATATGCGAGTATCCATTGTACTTTGACATTAGGCCTGTATCTGCACAAAAATGATGGCATTGAAGCATATAAATAATATGGCTTTATTTAAAGTTACATACTCTTGCCAATGCCGAACACCTTCATTTAATCATTTCAAAATAGATTTAACACTTGAACATCCGCATGTCCATGTGGTTGCTAAATTTTGTCAAAAATAAAAAACACCACCATCTGCACTCCAAATTTCACCTGCTTTGACTTCCAATTCCAAGACAATTGTGGAGCTGACACTTTGACTAAGGTTATCACTTTCACATATGACAGACTGCCATCCACAATCCAAAACGAATTAAATATTTTTTTAAAAATTAGCATAAATCAATTTTTCCTATTTTTTTTCCCTAGATGACACAATTTGTAAAGGAAAATCAACAATTTCTTCAATTTGACCAAATAAAAGATTTTCTTTGTTAGATCCACAATAGGATTTCAACTATGATGAAACAAATGAAGACAAGTTAAAAAAAAACAAAAAGCATATACCTACTCTTTATTTCTGAACAATAAAAAAAGGACAAACATTAGAAACCGCCCGAGATCAGTTTTCTATCCAATAGGCAGTCGGGCATTAGATTCAACCACTATAACATCTTGAAAAACCAAACTGCCTATGAAGCACGATTAGGCATGGCACGACCCCGGCCCCTTCCCATGTAGCCATACCCCCTTCCATAATAAGAACCTCGAGAACGACCACCACGTCCAGGCCCACGACCACCTCGTCCACCTCGATACCTCGAGAAATCACCAAAAGTCTGCACCCATCAAACATAATAAAATGCTGAGAACATAATCCCAACTCTTGGAAAGTTCAAAAATCAAAGGATACAAAGATACAAATACCTCTGTGTCTATTTTCATTTGCTCGGAAAATCTAGTCCTTCCATTTTGTGATTCATAATCACGAGCATTACTGGAAATACTATCAAAAAAGTCATCCTTGTTGTAAACAGCCTGCAGCGCATAAAGGGAAAATCAAATAACGTATGTAAAAAAAAAATTCAAAAGCTTCTTTCTTCAACAAAAAATAAAATTCAACAGAGTGACACAAGATAGTGACATCAACCTTGACACCAACCTTATGTGCTCCAGCATCCTGTTCATCTTCAAAATCATCTTCATCACTGATTTTTCCATCACCTTCTTTGTTGTCCTTCGAGTGAGATTTGTTACCCTTACCAAGATGACCCCATACTTCATCCTTCTTAAATTTCTCATTCATCGCCATAAAGTCAAAATCCTCTGTGAATTTTGTCACAGGACGTGAACTCTGCCAGATAAATAAAAAACTTTCAATAAGGTTAACTCATGACTCACGCTCAATGAATTATTATAAACACTAGTCACTTTGTCTTGACTAAAATGACTTCCAAATTGTTGCAAACACCTAAACCATATTTGCTCATCGACCCAACACTCCATATTAGGAAGTCTAAAGCTATAACTAAAATACTTATATATCCTTGAGAGTCGAGCCAATCAATAGATCATTTACAATTCTTTGTACAAAAGCTCACATAATTGTAATAAGCTAAAATTCTAATATGACTCTACTTCCCCCGATTTTCAAGGAGATAAATGTAGAACCAAAATCTAAAACCTAACAATTGAAAACTTAGCTTTGATGAGCAGAATATGCAACAATTCAGGTTGTGAAATTGTAAATGTGGAATGCCCTTAACATTTTAGAAAGCAAATTTAAATAAAGCATTACCCCAGTTCCTCTTCCCCTTTCACGGCCCCTGTAACCATGACGAGATTGGAATGGAGCTCCATTTGGCTAAGCAGAAAAAAGAAAGAGAAAGGACACATATAAAGAGTTCATAATTAGCCAAATAACAAAAAAGCAAAGTTAACATAATTCTAAGTATCATCAGAGCACAAATGTGGATTAATATTCTATGATAGAAGAAAACTACAAAATCCAATCAGATGAAAATTTGTTTATCACACTCTCAGTATGTAAAACAGTTTCTGAATTATTCAATGAAAATAATGCACATCCCAGAAAACATTCTCAATCAAATACAAAGAAAGGGCAAGATGCAAAGAAAATAATAACGATTTTCTGTGGTACAGAAGCCTGCATATATCAGAAATAAGACAAGCCACCCCATAGAAAAGGTCAGAATACTTTTTAGCACACTCAAGCTCCCAAAATCACTGCTGACTGTTTCACATAAACAGAAGAGTGATATTGCTTGATGACAGGAGGAAAATCTTCTGTACACATTAAGACTTCAGTTGAGTCTGCTTAGACCAGCATCCAAACAACCACTTAACAGAAAAAACAGCAACCATATAAAAGTAGATGCACTGAACCAACAATCTAACATAATTAGCATCAATAAAAATCATACAATCCCTGCCAACCAAATGATTGGCAGCAAAACTTAAACCGCAGAGAAAACTCTTCCAAGGTAAAACGCATTAAACATACACCATCATTAATCAGAAAAGACATACACATAGCAGTCAGAGAACACTTCATCAAAATGAAGGACATAAAATACCCCATTCAGTTCTCCCATTCTTATCATCCAAAACTTGTTACCAGTATGATATTGGACCATTCAACCTCCATATAACTTTCGACACAAAAATGACTGGAACACACCAGACAAAATAGATAGAGAGAGAGAGAGAGAGAGAGAGGAATTCCTATCATGCAGAAGCAGCATAAATTCAAAATTCATGACAAGACTCAAATTATTTACTGATGCTGAAGAGTGGTGTTAAAAGAGCATCTTACAACAAGTAAAGGATTAGGGATTCAATTCTTATCATCAATGGCAAAGAAAATTAATACATAGGTGAATGGAAACAGCTTCTATTGGTCCATTTTCCAATGTATCTTCACCTCAAATCACATCCCTTCTGTCCCTAATTCACTCAATCAATCAGATTCTCCGCTCAACTTCCCAAAAACCATCAAGCTGGTTAAGAACTTATAAAATAAGAAAATAACATTCGCATAGAGCAGTCAATATTTCCAATCAAGTTGATAAGCTTCCTGAGAATAATTAGTGTCTTCCACAGTTTTCCAAAGTAAAGACATAAGCAAAAGTTTTCCTTTGAGAAACCATAACACATGCTACAGCTAGGACATTCACGCAGTTAGGCACACAGATGGTGGCAAACAAGAAAATAATGGATATACTACTGATATGAAAACCTTTTGAACACCGCGTGGGGGTACTGGTAATGGCAAAATTGGTGGCTGAGCTTCCGTTACAACTGGCACTGCTGGTTCTGATGATGATGATACTTGAACCACCTGCACGTCTTTATGAGCAGTTTGTGCAGACTGAGATGAAGATGTAGTTTGAGATGGAGGGACTGCAGTTGGTCGTGACTGCAATAGCTGACCAGGGGTCACCAATGAAGGTGCTGGTGTTTCCATGAGAATAGAAGTAGAAGACCCGACAATAGAGGGCATAGACTGCGATGAGCTTTGATAAGGAAATACTGGAACACTAATTGCATTTGGCTTGTCAGATGTTGGTTGTACAATGGCATTTATTTCTAATCCAGAAGTAGTCAGAGGCGGCAGTGACGGCAAGCTTGCATTAAATGTAGATGCAGGAAGAGTAGAACTACGACCCTTATTAGGCATTGAACTAGGTAATGTTTCTGAAGATAGTGTAGCAGAGGGAACTGGTGGCAGTGCTGATGGCAAAGTTGATGGTGGTAAGGAAGTGGGTATCAAATTAAGGGAACTAGTACTAACAGGAAGTAATGGATAAGAAGCTTCTGGCATGTTTGAACCTGGCATATTAGAAGCTCCAGGAAAGTTTGAAGCTCCAGTTGGCAAGGGAGCATTAAAATTAGGATATTGCATGGATTGTTGCATGGAAGGAGGCATTGAAAGCCCAGGAGGCGGTCGAAGCAAAGACTGTTGGTGCAAATGTGGAAGCCCATTTGGGGGGCCATAGTATCCCTGCCAATACATCGGCATAGCAAGCCCGGCACCATTTGCAGTTGGAGGAGGAGGTGAGGCTCCCCATGACCCTACATTCCCTCCGGGTTGATATAGAGGTAGGCCACTTTGGAAATTTGAGCCAGGTAGTCCCAATTGTGCATTGTGGGAACTAGGATCAGTTAAAGGCCCGCTAACAGCAGAAGGCAAGCTCGTTGACGGGCGAGGGTAGTGAGACTGAAAAACATAACATCTAACTCAGAGTGATGTTAACTAGATATAAGGCATCACTTATTAAGACCTTTCCTCCAATTTACCTGTATAATAGCTGGGTCATTGTTTATAGGTGGCGTGGGCTGAACAGGGGGAGAAGATTTAACCTGTAAATCCTGAAAAACAAAGCATAAAAGAAAATGAGGTTTTGGCGAATAAACATTCAATAACTTGTTCAAAGACCAAATCAACAAGGTCTCACTCCCTAGATGTGAGTGTCATAGTCATTCACCAGATGTCAGTGCATAGTCATTCAAAATAAAGGCCGATACTTCAAGTTATAAAAGAAAGTGGCATTTGTTAAGTTGGATATCCGAAAAAAGGATCAGTTGAACCTAATCAACCCCCATGGAAATGACAATAAAAAAACTAAATTAAAAGTAATATATGACACATTAAGAAAAAAAAATTAATGGAAATTAGAAACCGCGAAAAGAAAATAAAAATTTATATGGCTATGCAATTAATTTTGAAAAAGCTAAAGAACTCAAGGCCAGTTTTTTCTGCAAACACCAAAGACTGAACCGCTTTGTAAACATGAAGTTAACCTGAAAAAAATACAAAAACATGTTCCTACCAGAAACATGAAGAAGAAGAGCCAATGACAAATAGTACAAATAGTATTGCTTCATATTAAATGCGTCAACCAGAAATGATTAATACGGAAAATAAAGCCATAAATAGGCTATCTGAGTATACAGTACTTTGATGTCACTTCCACGAAACAATATGTATTCATAAACTTTGTCACTCGGAGGGACTTGGGGACCATCTTTTTTCCTCCCTTCAGTTCCAAACGATCGCACTGCCACACATAAACGATTCAAATCACCAAATGACAGAGCAACTCAAATAAATAACAGAATACATACTCATCAAACTTCAACTAATCATTAAACGCGCAATTTTTTTAAAATCAACCAAACAATCCGCATAATTTACAGTCAAACCCGAAAATTCAATAAAATAACAAAGAAAAGAAAACCGGCACCGTTTATCAAGCCAATACTGGACTCTTCAGTGTTGATATTGTAAAGAACGCCCTCGTATCTGATTTCGGACTTGGAGGTCAAGCTTATTAAGCTTCCTATATATGAATCCGCCGTTGACGAGCTCGGTTTTGAACCAGACGAACCATCGGTCGCCATAAAGAGAGACAAACAATTATAACTCCAATCTCTGTTCTTCTTTTGTGTTATTCTCCGGTTCCAGCGATAAACTAGGGTTTAGGTTTGGGGATTTAAGTTTGAGATAATCGGTTCTTTGTTTGTGGCAATAGATAGAAGATTTTAATACCTGCAGTTCGGCGTGTTTGTTAATTTTGTTTCAGGTTAACGAGGTGACCAACAGGGTGAAGCCACGTCGGTAGATTTTGGACTTGTTGGTCCTTTTGGAAGAACTTATGGAGAATTTTAGTCCAAACATAACTGTTTTGAGTAGAAGAGGGAACCCAATGTTGCTTGCTCTTGGTGGACCCTTAATTCTAACGAATTTGCTCGTGACACGTATTTTGCTCATGAATAGCGTGTTAAAATGACTAAAAACTCCAACGTTCCATAAAGGGTTCTGGCGAGGCAAGCGTCGCACGTGAATGCTGCGTTGTGTTACTGTTACCATGTTTTAAGGGGACGTGCGCGGGTATGAATGGTTTCGTATTCTGTTTTAAAATTTAAATAAATGTTTTTGGTTTTAATTTTTTTTTTCAATTTTTATTTAAAAAAAAAAATCATTTTTGAAATCAATGGAGAGTCAGGTAGAATGACATTTTTTAACCAAAATTTAGTATGATTGATAAACTCCAATTCAAGAGTTTTGAGAAATAAACTTGTTATACCTAAAAAAAATCAGGGTTGACGTAAGTTTCCATTAACAAGCATTAATCAGAGTTTAAGGAGGCTTTGCACTGTTCAAACATTACCCTGTCACACCAAGATAGAATGGATACGACTGTCATCAACCCAACAAATTCAGATTTTGTCTATGAGTGAACGGTGACTGCACACCTATCCAGACCCTAAATAATTTGAAGATATTTCCTAAGCTATCAGCCAATGGGAGGTAAGGAATGAGTTGTGCGACACCTACCCACTTGTAGATTTGTAATTATTATCTTTAATTCATCTACTATAAATAGATGACTCCTCCTCTAATTTTTTTTTTTTTTATCTTTTACTTTCATTACAATTAATAGCAAAGACAACCTACGAGAAAATGACTGACTTGATATTCTCTCTGAATATTTAGTTATTGTACCTCTGCTCGTTGTTCGTTATACGCAACCTCCTGTAAAACTCTCATATATAAAATAAACAATATACGTAGCTGAATCAATTATTATTTAGTTATCATATGTCTTATTTATTACTTAGTCTTTGCATTTAACTATATTTACAACCTTATCTTAACTCTTAAAACAATTATTCACAACTTAACACTTTGGACGTATGAATTGTTGGTGTCAAAATTAAACATCAATAAAACTAAACGATAGTTATTTAAAAATCAAATTTAATGACAATATATTTGTATCCAAAATTTAAGTTAAAATTTGGAGTTCTTTTTTAATTATTTATGTATTAAAGAGACACTTATTTACAATTTAACAATCCAACAGCGTGTGATAAACATAATTGCCATAAGCCCTTCGCTAAATTCAAATAATCTAAGCATAATAATTATAAGTTATATCAATGTCAGGTCACGGGTGTGAAAAATATTCCTCTGTATTTTCACCGCAGACCACAATATTCCTCGTTTTCAGTATTTACCCCTATCCAAAGAGCCGTTGAAGACCGACCTGGGAAGCCTTCAGGCCCACGATCAGTGACCGACACGTCATTTTACACCGGTCATATCAAACGCCACGCTCTTAAGCCACCTCAGTTATG